AAGTTTTATGGGTTGAAACCGATTTCTGATTTCTGGACAGGTCTGACCTGCTGACACAGATTTGGACTTATTCTGATTTTTCTAAAATAACACTATTTTTTAACTTCAGTTTAAATTGAAAATCGGCTTGTATGTTGATCATGTCGTTTACAGAAAAAAAGCTCATACACACCTAAACATAATTTCATAAAGCTGAGGTCTGGACCTCACAGTGGATCATGAAGTGGTGGGTCTTGAGGAGAGCTGCAGAAATCAGATTAACTTTAACACAACTGACAACCACATACTTTGCCCTAACTGTTACAAAGAATCAGTCATAAATGGATAACAAACAATACTAGAGAAATTGCATTTCCTGCAAAAATGTAGTGTGAATGCTTATTGATGAAGAACTTGCTGAAAAACAGCTGAAATTAGCTAAAAAATTATGCTGAAATTGTAGCTTAAATAGAAGAACAAGCAGAAAGTTAGCAGAAGAAAACAGAAAGAACACATATTTGCTGAATTAGGTTTAAATAAGCAGAAATGAGCACACAACTTGGGAAATTATCTAGAAAAGCTGAAATTAGCTAAAACAAGTGGCTGAAAAGTAGCTGAAAAGGCAGAAAGAAGCTTAAGCTACCAGAAGGAAGTGAACGAAGCTGAAAAGAGCTAAAAAAATGTGGAATTAGATGAAAAAGCTAAATTGAGCACTAAAACAACTCAAAAGTAGCTGAAATTGCAGAAAAAGTTTAAATTAGCAGAAATAAACTGAAAGGAGCATAACAAACTGAAATTGTCAGAAAGAAGACCACAAAAAAATTTGAATTTATCTGAAATTAGCTAAAAATGCTAACCATGTAGCTGAAAACGTAAAACGAGTTTAAATTAGCAGAAGAAAGCAAAACCAGCACATTTGCCCAATTAGGCTGAAAGAAGCAGAAATGAGCACAAAGAAGTGGAAATAATTGGCAAAAACAGTTGAAAAGTAGCTAAAAATGTAGAAAGAAGTTGAAATTACAAGAAGGAAGTGGAGAGAGCACATTTTTGCTGAATTAGGCTGAAAAAAGTTGAAATGAATGCAAACATGTGGAATTAGCCAAAAAGGCTAAAATTAGCATCAAACAGCTAAATACTATCTAAAATTGCATAATAAGCTGAAACTTGCATAAATGAGATGAATAGAGCATAACAAGCTGAAATTAGTAGAAGTTAGAAGAAGCACAAAAATATTGTAGTTAGAGAAAATCTGAAAGGAGCACAAAACAGCACGAAAAACAGCTGAAATTAGCTGAAAGTAGCTGAAAAATTTTTAAATTTGCAAAAGGAAGCTGAAAGAAGCTGAAGCAGAACAAAGTGTGAAAGGAGCAGTAAAAAGTTGTAAACAGATCTAAAGATTTGAAGGATGTAAAATTTTGTTTGCTAAGAGAAACAAAAAGGCAGAAAAGGCAAAATCTTTCAAAAAACTAAAGTTGCACCAATACCAAAAGTCATAGCACCCTTCTCCTGAATGAGCAGTACGTTTTGATTTATGATTATATATGATTTGTTCAAATAGCACAAAAAATGTGGTGAAAAGCATACGAAAGAAAACTGTATCACAATAGTGTGAACGCTTCATAAACGTTCACACAATAATGTTTGACGAGGCTTTTGTGAATGTGGCGTTTTAGCAGCGTTTGTCTGCTTTAATCAGCAGCAGCTGGTGTCACCAGTCTTTGTGACTTTAGTTCTGTGGTGCAAAAGCTGAGAAGTTTGGGAACCCCTACTCTAGAACAACAGAAGTGTTTGAGCTTTTCTCTGTCTGTCACTGAAGTTCTACATATCCTCCGGGTAATCAGAGGTATTTGTAGACATAGAAATGCTCTAAGGAAGATGGCAATAACTCATGTGTTGATTTAAAAGCAGCTGAGCTGCGAGCCTTAACCACAGAGATCTGATAAATTACCTCCAAAGATCGCAGCTTATCTCTCTGTAATGTGACGCTGGTGTTGGATTTCAAACTGACAGCTGCAAGAACTAAGCAGATTTTCTGAGTTAAGACCGTCTGTGTGTGAGCGGCTGCTGAACTGGAGGGATTATCGGCTTTTAACTGTCCGTCTGTCTGACTGTGTGGTCTTGTGGTGTTGACACAATGTGCTTTTAACATGTGACGTTTCCATTTGAGGTGGAAGGGTGCCCAACTGTGGTCAAAGAGATTAGGATTATTATTGATTATGGAGTAGAAATACAAATACTGGGGCAGCAAAATAAAATAAAACATATCCTCATCACTGTATCACTGTGGGCAATATTGGTACAACTTGAACTGCAAAAAAAGTAGGCTGATATATTATCAGGTCCCTCACATTTGTGATTTACAAGTTTCAACAGAAAAGTTGATATACTGATAGATCTTTGTGCAGATGGTTGCATCGGAAAATGTGTAGAGATCCCAAAGTTACTCTGTAGGTCCTGTATGTGTTAATGTCTTGATTTTGGTTCTTGTACGTATAATCCGTCAAAAGTCCTCTGTAGTTGATTGAACACTAGTTGACTAGTTGCATTTTGAACAAAAATCTTTTTTATTATTCTAATAACAGTAATATTTCTTCATCTACTGTTCACACATGAAAAATCTGTGGAGTAAAAATGAGCCATTTCTATATATTCATCAAAGGTGGGATGTATTATGGTATCGTCTCCATCCCTCTGTCCATACGTACGTCTGCAAACATTCTTGTCCCACCCATAATCTCTGATCCGCTCAAGATAATTCAATAAAACTTGATACTCTTATGCATCATTACTAGACAAGAGTGTCACATACACTTTTTAATCCCTTCTGCTTTGAGGTGAAAGTCACAAATCAAGGTCAAAGTAGAGCTGGACAATATGGCCCAAACTTTTATCACAATACAACATTTTTCAGTCAGGTCATCTGGACAGTTTTTTTTTTTTTTTTTTTTTTTTTTTTTTTTGTGAAAAAAAAAAAAACTGTCCAGATGACCTGACTGAAAAATGTTGGATTGTATACCTGGATTATTGAGCATGGACTTTGTTAGTTTTATCACAATATGTTTCTTAATTTCGGTCGGTAACGATATAATTCCGACATCGATATAAACAATATAAAAGCCTCAGAAAAACTGTACTACAAATAAATTAATGTTCACCTTTTATTTGTATTTAGCCTTCAAAGAAATTTGAAATCACCGTCAAATAATCATAAAATTCTTAGCTTTGTCAATATTAATAGTTTTAACTTTAAACAACAACATAACCTAACCCATGCAGCAAACGTCTGCATTTGCTGCATGGGTTTCTCTTGATACAGCGGGGGGTGTTGTTTCAGGGACACGTTGGCTCAGACTTTTATTATGCTTCATGTTCTGACTCTCAACATATTCTATCGAGTGGAAACTCTTAAGATGTGTTCCCACCGCTAGTTGGAACGACTCTTCGGCACATTTTTCAGCGCACTTAGCTAGCCGAACCACTTCCACGCCGCCAAATTAGTCTTTCCTTTTTTATCATTTATGTCATCTGCTTTCTCTTTGCTTGTGAAAGCTTGTTCAGTCACATCCTGACGGTCATGGGCACTCATTTTGAAGCGAAAACTTACCGCACGTTGGCGATTAGCTTAGCTTAGCCTGCTACCGCTGACTCCTTCGAGCTGTGGTGTACGTCACCACGCACTTACGTAGTTGTGTCACGGCTTTTTCTGTTCGGGTTGAAACTGATGCAGCCGCTTCAACCTGAACCGAAAAAGAAAGGTGTCGGTGAAACGTTGTAATCATAGCCTAATGCATATTGAAATATCAAAAATGTGCTTAAAACTCACATCACCGTTATTGAATAAAATTATATTGTGATATATATCGATAGCGAATTATTGTCCAGCCCTAGGTCAAGTTAAAACAAAGTCTTTGCTTGATTGCTGTATAATAGTTTGTCGTCGGGCTCTTGCCTTAGTTTTCAGTAATCAGTAGGAGAGATGAAAGATGTTGTGCTTTTTGTGTGTTTTGTTTTATTGATCTCAAAAATAGATGTAAAAAAATTGTATCAGTTGTGGATCAGAGGAACAAAAAAAGTTTTCCACTTCAAAGTTCCTGGGCTGGACTCATGGACCTGCTTTGTGTCAGAGTGTCCTCAGGCGAGACACTGAACACAACACGGGCCTTGAAAGGCTGACTTCCAACTTGTTTAAATGACAAATTCTCAATATAATTTAGAGCACAAAAAATAATTTATCAATAAAGGCACTCTGGCAATCAAATAATCTATTTTGTTCAAGGTGAAAATCACCAAATGAAAAGAAATCGACTAAATGTAGCTACTTTTTATTTCTCAAACAAAAGTGTTGTCCGTTGTGATTCAGACTTTTCAAATTTGCACAAAAATTATTATTTTTTTAAATACAGGAAGTGCATTTTTTTGTTTTAAAGTTCATTAAAATAGATTTTAAATAGGTGTTTCAGTACAAAAAAAATTGCATGTCAGGATGGACAAAAACTAGAGCTTTCTACATCACCTTTACATCAACTAAAGTTCAAAATACTGCCGTTTTTTTTTTTGTTTTACACAGTTTTCCTAAATGTTTCTACAAAATTGAAACAAAATGGTGGATATGAGGAGTTTCAACATCAGTGCTCAATTCTGAGTTTAGAAAAGAAGAAGTGGGATTGGAAGACGATCGGATGAGGAACTGAGCTGAGAAAACTGTGAATCAGGAAAAACAAACCGTCATGTTCAGTTGAACGAACGTCCCTTATCGCTGCTTTGTATCCTCCCACTCATACCAGCGAAGCACACTCATGTATTTATAGTATCTCCTGCACGCCTGTGTCTGGGAGCATGTATATTTAGCCTTGTGGGGTCTGAGCCCCCAGCTGGATTTACTCTGTTTGTGTGGGAACAGTGTCATGCTGAGTGGAAGTACAAACTTCCATGTATGATATTTTCTGTTACTCTGAACTTTAAAAACAGTCCCAGTGTTATATTTTATGTGTAATCCACATGTGTGTGTGTTTTCTTTCCAGGAACTGATGAGCAGGACCTCTCTGGAGACTCAGAAGTTGGATCTGATGGATGAAGTGTCCTACCTGAAGCTAAAGCTGGTCAGCATGGAGGATACTCACACCGAGACCCCCCCTCAGGATCCCATAGAAACACAAAACAACAAAGCTGAGGTATGGATGTTAACGAACCCGTGTTACGTTGAGCCGAGGCTTCTCCGCTCATTCAAAGAGAGCAAGGAGTTCCTTTTTCTTTAGTGAATGGATCGGCGTGTCCTTTAAAAAAAAAAGATCTGTACTGGATTCATCTGAGTGAGAAATGTAACATCTTTAATGTAAAGTGTTGAATTAAAAAAAAAAAATCTTTAAATGTTACTAAAATATAAGTTTATCTTCTGTTTTCCAACATGTGATTTCTGAAACTTAATGTTGAGTCAGATTTATCCTTTATCCTAAAAGGAATAAAAGTTATTTTTACAGCTCTGCTTTGGATATCGTATGTAATGAATCTTTTATGGCTATTTTATAAGACTTTTCTTTCACTCTGATAAAGTAATGGCTCACTCAAAGCCCACCTTTAGGTGCTTCCTCATGTAGTATACAGGGAAAAAATTACCAAACTGAGCTTCAGACTTGCACGTCACTGTATTTTAGCCCTGTAGAAGCCTTTGGCAGTGATTGTTGGTATTTTTTGTTCATGCAAACTCTAAGAATTAAAAAAAAAATCAAGATCTCATACACTGTCTAGAAGCTATACGTCTTGTGTATTGAACTAAGTCAGGAGGAGGCTAGTATGGGCTTTTTGATAACAGTAAGACGAACAAGCGATGCACAATCATTGTCTAATTTGTGTGCCAAAGTCATACACATGTACGCAAGACTTGTTTGGGTGGCCCACAAGTCAGAAATATGTCTACTATATTTATCCCTCTGATTTGTAGTATGCAACACTGTGAAGGTGGGAAATTATTGTATTTTCCAGAATATATGTCGCATCAGTCAAAATAGCATCACGAAGAGGAAAAAAAACATATATACTGTAAGTCACTTTGGCATATAAAGCCCTATTCACACGGGATTGGTTTTACCTAAGGACCACGTGTAATAAATAAATTACTCCCCAGCGTCTGCTTTTTATGTGGCACATTCGCACAAGATAACCAAAGCCCGAGATTTAGCTGAAATTTACGGACATCTTCTAGATATGATGTTAACTCGCTCCGTTGTCACGACAAGGCTGGTCCATATAATAATGTGCGGTCCAGGACGGTCTCAGGCTTTGATGTGGTTTTACGAATCATTACGAAAGAAAACTAAAGAATGCACAATATAAAATTGTGTTAATCTACTCATTGAGGAGGAGGCAGGTCCGACTAGCCGGTTTAAGAGGTAAAAAAAGCCACGTTAAGCTCAGATGGACAGCTGTCACCAGCCATGCGCGTGAGCAGCCACACGTCTACTGACCCGCTGGTTGAAATGGGCTTGCGACCTGCCCAGGGTTTCCCCTGCCTCTCGCACAGTGATGGCTGGACATGGGCACCAGCGACTCCCGCTACCCAAAAAGGTAGAAGAGGGTAAATATAATGGATGGATGGGTCAGTTGATCACGTGTGCGTCTCCGCACCTCTTGTCATCTGCGGTGAAGGAAGTAGCAGCATAAAAGCCGAAGCAAAAACAAAAACAAACAATAAATTTAAAAAAGCCAAAGCGAGTAGCGCGTTCTTAAAGTAGCCTTGTTCTATATTTTTCCAAATGATTTTGCTTAAACAAAAACCGCCTCATTATGTATCGGATCCTGCCCATTTCTTTCCAAATCACAGAGATGCCTATTCACAATGGATTGGTATTATCACAGGCCTCAGAGTTCAGCAAAATATAGTAGATAATTTGCGGATGAATTTTTACTTTACAAATTACTGACATGGCCGATTTGCACGGAATTAACAACACAGACAGTCTCCGTAATTATTACAAATAGCATGTGGTCCCTAGGTAAAACTAATCTCGTGTGAATAGGGCTTAAGTTGCATTTATAATGCGTCACCACTGAGCTGTCGCGTTTATTATGCATTTATTTAATGGTCAAAACAGCTTCATTTCGCCTGGTGGTGCAGTGCCATCCATCCATCCATCATGGCCGTAGCCACTAGCTTTCCAACATTCCGCCTGCACCAGCTGAGTGAAGCAAGTGCATATGGGAGGACTCACTGTTGCAGTTCTTTGACATTTAAAGTGTCTGTCAAAAATTGTGTTATGAATATAGAAGAAAAAACATATACAAATCACATCGGCATATAAGTCGCAGGACTGACAAATCTATGCAAAAAACTGCGACTTATACACCAGAAAATACGGTAGATGTCACCATTGTACTACAACGACTGAGGGTGTCGGACTTCTGCAGGCAGATGCTGGAGGCTAACGAACCCCATGAAGCCGAATTAGCTTTGCTAATACAGAAAAGCCAGTAACACACGCTGAGCCTCTTTTTACTGCTCACTCTGCATTGCACGCAATCAGGAGTGATTGTCACGTTCTAAGCATGTACAGTCAGCACAGGAGGCTGGCTAAATGTTAATTGGTTAACAATTACCCACTAGCACTGATCACAAGTGTCACACAGACATTTGCCATGAGCTGACGGAGCAATTTCTGCCACGCCTTGAGCAAATTAGGCGTGCAACCTTATCCTGGCCAGACCTTGGTCTGTTTTATTCTTCTAACTTTCTGCCAGTGATGATCAGGACTTCACGACTTGGCTGTGTGAGTGTTCTAACACTTACAGTGAATTGTTAGTGCAGCTTAACTTGTTTCTTCAGGCCCATTGTTTTCATCAAGTTTCTCCACTGATTTTGTCATTGACACTTGTAATCTTTTGTCTTCGTTTTAGCGTTTGAGTTGCAGCTATAAAAGAGATAAACTACTTTTTATAATACTTGCATCCCCCCCCCCCCCCCCCCAATATGTTCAAAATTTATTAGCATCTGATTTTTTAGACCGTCTCTAGATGAAGGAATATTTCAGATAGATGGAGCTTCCCAAAATCTGGATTGACGATTTAATGCATTTTTCTTTAGTGATGTCATCCATTTGTTTTTGGCCTGAAATTTTTCAAGTTTAAGTTAGCAGTGGATCAGAATGAGAACACAAAAACAAAAATAGAAAATGAGGAATTACCAATTCGCTAAAATATCATGAACGTGCATTAAAGTTGTTGTCTCTGGTCACTTTAAAACCTAATTTCCTTTCAGATTATATTGTAATTCTGCCTTTTGGGTCCTTCAGACATGCCGTAAATAGAAATATAAAATGAGTCTGGCTTTAATGGTTTTACTGTCTCCGAGCCAGGAGAGGATGTTAACAGCACTCACTACTAGCTGCTCTGATCCCACTAATTCAACACAGTTAAAATAGATGGTTTTCCTCACAGAATTGTTCCAATTGGGTTTTTTATGAGAAGAAAATTAAAGGAAGTCAACTTGATTTATTTTATAAATATTCATAGGATAACTTGTAAATTGCTAACTGCATGATTTACTTTAAAATCAAACTTGTATCAAGTTTTACAGACGTGCTTTATAAACAGTTCCATAAGAGGTTGTACATAGAGACTGTGCACTATGGATTTTGTGTAAATTTTTGTCATTTCTAACATTTCATAAGCTCTTCTTAAGAGGTCACTGTTGAAAGAAAACTCCTCTCTCAGGTGTTAGCTGCTAGAAATACCTGTTAATGTGCAGCATGTTGTAATTTAAGCAGAAATTTAAGAGCTTTAAATTCTCCATCTCCTGTCTGTGTGACTCACCTGTTGGCTCGTGGCAGATGGCTTCAGTAAAGAGGACTGTGATGGGTGGACAATGTGCTTAATGTTAACAAAGTTTGAATCTGTTATCAGCCTGAGGGTTGTTGGCTGTTAGTGTTACCTCACAAATACATCAAAAACAAATATTAAAACAAAGGTTAAGTATTTTGTCTCACTAACACCAGAAATGTGCAGATTTACAGTTTAAAAGTTTCTAGACGAGTTAGGAGCGAAGAGTAAAACAATAATTAAAGCGCAGAACTGAGTACCGGTATATGACCAGACAAGCCATTCAAAGCTGTTACTATCCTTTTGTTTCTTCCATTATTGAAGGAAATAAACAGCAACATCTACTACAATTAAGAAATGCTATGAATGCTCAACATTGATGTCCTATCAGCCAATAACTGCTTTAAAAATAAATGTTAGCATTGACTTAAGCATACCAATAAGGTCACATTTGCCTCTGGTTTAATTTCAAACAAATTTCTTAGTTTCACCTTACAGTATATTTCAAATTGTAGTATAATTAGGATGCCATTAGTGGTAATAAGTTCAAATGTAAAAAAAAAATGCACAAAACATTGAGTTTTTAATTTTGATGGTGGATTTTTTTTTATCAAAAATGCATTACTGGTACTTATGATGGCAAAAGTGTCACTCAGGTAAAAAAATTAAAATAGGTAAAGGAAATGAAGGCCACTGCATATAAGTCTGTTTGATTACACCTCACATCAACATGTATAAGGGCAACTTTTAATAAAATTCAAGAAATTCTCCCAAAGTTCACGATGGGGTTCTTTGTGCCGAGTGTGATGAGAGAAGGAAAATAAATGTTTTTGTTTTCTCTTGAAACTCTAGAATCCAAAACTTGGTTTGTTGTCTTACAGGTTAGAAACTCCCACTAAACCAATTAACAAATCACACACGCCAAAGGCTTTCCCACAGTTCTTTGTCAACAGTAGGTGAAACATTACAGAAGGTCTCAGGTGATTAAAGATCCGCCTCCATCTCATAACAAACAATGAGGATGTGGTAAAAACATCCCCATCACGGCTTATCAGCAGTGGTGATGATGAAATGAGATACTAGCCTCTATAGTGAAACAAGCCAGAACACATCAACTGGTCTCCACAGACAGTTTCAGTACCACCCGTCAGAGTCTGACACACGAAACTAAACAGCTGACAGCAAAAATTTAGTTTTTAAGTCTTATTGACGTGATTGACTACTGTCCTATATATTATCTTTATCAGGATGTTCTCTTTAATTTCAAGTGTAGTGGTCTTTATCAGGCCTGATGGCAGCTCCAAATATTTGTACTTGTACTCATAAAATCACCCCAATACTTCAAACTGATACCACTTTTATG